CCATCCTGGCTCTGAAGGGCCTGCCATGCAGCAATTTGAGGCTATGGGCTGCAGACAGGGGAATTCTCAGCAGCTTTCTGTAGATAATATTTATGTTCTGAAACTGGATTTTTAAAAAGCTTTTACAAAACTGAAACAAGAATGGCAGTACCAAGATATTCATAGCCATGTTTACAGGCACCTTAGTGGATTGTGTCTAGATCTGATTTTCCTAAACACTCCTCAAAACATTTTTTAGAGATAGGTAGACTTTTTATGTTTGTTAACACATTTCTGCCGGCTGGAACCACTGGCGATACATGTGTGACTGTCCTGCTCAGCAGCCTGTACCACCCCGCAGGACTATCCCCTGAGGCCTGATGGACAGTCATGCACATACCCCTGGTGGTTCCGAGCTGCTGAGCAGAGACATGAATTATGGTCCCATCGTGAACGTACGTGCTAAAGAAGTTTGCCTCTAATTTCAGCCTCACTAGTATAAAATACTGGGGCTTAAGTGTATGACTCAGTCATTAATTTTACAGTGTATATGAGGAACAAGTCATTCAGAAGGCTGAAAAATTAAATCTTCCTACCAAAACAACACTCTAGTCCTCTTTCGCGGTGGGGGGTTGCGGGTATGTAAACTTCCCGGGCCACTTGAGTCCTTCAGGAATTTTTCTCTGGGCAACTTTTGCAGGACTCAGCGTGGAAATTTTCCCAGATGCCCCAAAGCAGCAGGGCCTAGAAACGGGATTGCTGATGCGCAGCCTGTATAAAAGAGCTGGCAGAGGATGGCTTAGATCCATCGGCCTCCGGGTTATGGGCCCAGCTTCCCCCGCGCCCCTCTGCATGCTGTGTTCCCAGCTGCTCCTTCTCCCACTTCAAAGCGTGGCCCTGCGCATGCACCCTGCTCAGGTCACCGCCCCAGGGCTCCTCCATCTGCGGAGGCAGCGCCGATCTGGGCCAGGTCCAAAAGCTGGGGTCTGCGGAGGACGTTGCCTGTCTCCGGTCGCCTCAGGCGCCGGCCTTCTTGGAGCGACTAGCAAGGGGAGGAAGGCTCTTCGGTTCAAGGCCAGGAAGAGGCGCCCTGGATCCCGAACCTTTACCAGATTCTGCAACATCGGGCCCTTCCTTCCTTCTTCTTCTTCTTCCTCCTCCTCCCCTCCCCCTCC